CGAATCGCTATCGCGCGCTGCGTATTTGGGACGCCCGCTTCCGCGCGCGGCATATAGAGTTGGGCGCGCGGTCCGAATCGCTATCGTGCGCTGCGTATTTGGGACGCCCGCTTCCGCGCGCGGCACACACGAGCGCTCGCACCACACTCTCTTCCCCGCGCCACCTTCGCCCCGCACGCGCCGGCGCCGGCAAGCTGACCCGATGGATGCACGCGCCGACACCCCCCTCACCCCATCCTACAGCCGCGAACCCTCCACCGCCGCCGCCACCGCAAACCCTAGCGCTGGAAGCGTTGACCTCGCCTCGCCGGAGCTCCTCCGAGCATCGGCCTCGCGCGCGGCCTCTTCATGCCGCCGCGGATGACCTCGGTGGCTGGTGGCGTCGCGCCGGCGCCCGCCGCGATGAAGCCACGTGCACCCCCCTCGAAGCTCCCAAATGCGGCATGACCGAAGAAGGGCAAGACATCCGCGAAGAAGAACAAGGCGGCGGACGGCTCCGGCACCTCGAAGGCACCGAGGAAGAAGCTTGCAGGGCGTGTGACGAGCGCGACGGCTACCGAAGGGCCGGCGAGCTCACTTGTTGAGCCGGCGACCGACGCACACAATGTGTTCGACGATATGCCCCAAAGGTTAAAAAATTCCCGATCCTTTTTTCCTTCTTTATTTTTTGAATGCATACATATAGATAGCTTATTGCATTGTTCTATATACTTTGTAGTGTGAACGATGATGCATACATGTCAACTATGGGTGTTGGCTCGAACAATTCACATTGGTCTCAAATCAATGACATGCATTTCGAAGACCATGAGTTCTAGGTGGACGGGGATGGTGAGGGCATTGTCGACGCACTAAAAGGAAGAGGAGGCAACTACACCAACGACGAAGATGTTGTGCTATGCAAAACTTGGTTGGACGTCTCGAAGGATCCATCCATTGGAGGTGATCAAAGTAGAGATGCTTATTGGCTCCGGATGAAAGAACACTTTGATCTTTGCAACATGAGTGGAATTGACCTCTCCGCACGATCACTTCGCTCCCGGTGGTCGACCATCAATAGGGATTGTCAACAATGGGCGGCCGCACAAAAAGCGGTTGACAAGTTTAACCCAAGTGGCAGTAAGTGTCAATTCATCATTCCTCATGTTCACATCATGCTTGTTGTTGGTGTTTCTTGTGCTAACTTGTTTTGTTTTCATGTAGTTAAATATTGCACAAAACTTTTTCAAAGGAGAGGAGAAGAGGACCAAGAAGGGGAAGATCAAGAAAGGAAGGCCATTTACCTTGCCTCATTGCTATGAAGTATTGAAGGATGATGAGAAATAGAAGAAGCGTGAGGATATTGATGATTTGGATTTGAGCAAAAAACGCAAGCGAACAATTGATTTGGAAGATCATGATGAGGAGGATGCATCAAGTGAAGATGGCAAGAGAAGCCCCACACCAAACTCGGTTTCATACTCGAAGCCAAAACGACCGGATGGCACGAAGAAAGACGCAGAAGAAAAGAAGAAGAGGAAAGGAGAGGATGAGATCAAAAATGCTATGGAATCAATTGTCAACGCAAGAAGAGAAGCCAATGAGGTAAGGAAAATGGCAAGGAACCAAGATGCCGCGGCCGAGGAGAGGAGGTTGGCCGTCGAGGAGAGGAGGGTGGCCGCCGAGGAGAGGAAATTGGCATTGGAGGAGAGGAAGGTGGGCATGAAGGAGCGAGCTAAGTTGTTGGAATGGGAGAAGCACTTGTTCTTCTTGGACACATCTTTGTTCAATAATGCGCAAAAGGAGTATGTCAACCTTTCCCGTGAAGAAGTCTTGATCCAAAAAAGAGCCATGATTCACACAATGGGTGGCGGTGGCCTTGGCGGCATGGGTGGCATTGTGTGGGAGCTCTTCAGAAGGTTCTGATGAAGGTGGCCTTCCACAATCCAGGCCTCAACCTCACCAACGTCCTCAAGTCCTTGCCGCCGGATGCAGATGTGGAGGCGCTCAAGACCCTTGTCGCACCCATTGTGGACAGGGTGAGCGGGATCAAGAGGGTTGATGGCGATCGCGTAGATTAGACCGCCCGTTTTCTCTCTTCCTTGTCGCTGCTGGCTATGTTATGAGAACAATCTATTAGAGCTGCGACAAGCTATCTTGTAATATAACTCTATTTTTGAGTAGTGATTGCTATGTTATTTCCTTTACTTGAGTCCTTCCTTTGTATGTTTTTACCCTACGCTTTTAGGGAACTTGTCGGCGCAGGCACCTGGGCCGCGAGCGCTGAGTGCGGGACGTCAGCAGCCTGCTGGCGGTGCCGCTTCCGACAAGTAACCTTGTCGCAACTAGTTGCAGCTTACTTAAGTTGTTGAGCGGGGAGCCCCCGGGCCTGGGCCACACGCGGTGCCGAGCGCTGTTGGGCCAGGCCCAAAACAGGGCACGGGCACACGCGGCCTGGGTTACGCCATAACTCACTCCGGACCCACCACGTCCTCCACGAACGGCACGCGTCGAATGCGGCATCGTGGGAGAGATCGTGAGGGGTTTCTTTATTCGGAAAGGCGGAACGTCCGCCCCCTCCCTTTTTATAAGCAGGAGAAACAGGGGCAGTTCGCCCACCTCGCCAGTCGCTGCCCAATCTCGAAAAACCTCCGCTGCTCCCCCTTCTTCCCAAAGCCGAAAAGAGAGCAGCGCTCCGCCCCCCATCGCCACCAGCACCACCAACGCCGTCGATCTCCCCCACCACCTCCGCCATGGCTCCGAAAGCCGACAAGGGGAAGGGTGTGAAGTCGGCCGAGGCGCAACGGCTCGCGACGCTACGGAAGGAGCGGGCCATCTTCCCCCCTCAGCTCGCCGCAAGGGAT